TAGACTATAAGGTGTCATGTTAGGTCAGCAGAAATATAGAGGGCGAGACCTTAGACTATAAGGTGTCATATTAGGTCAGTAGAAATACATGTATTTAGAGCGAGACGCCAGCCGAACACGGTGTCATATTAGGTCAGAAGAAACAAGAAGCTGACGCATGACCTTAATGTTTTTCTTCCCCATAAATTGGTCTCCTAACCTTATATGATTATACTGAGTTCGGTTGGCACTGTCACCGTTATGCCAGGCCCATCATGAAAGATCCACTACAGAATCTGTCACGAGGTCTTAGGCTCACACCTACTTTTTACCGGACAGACAGACAGATAGTTTATTTCGGTCTCACCTCGTACAATACAACATAAAAATACAATAAGATACATAAATACATTGCCGAGCCACCCTTTTAGGGCTACGAGACACACACAGAATTTAAAAACATTACAAAAATAAAATAATAAAATACATAACACGATTTACATATCGTTGTATAGAACACCCCTTCTTCTATCTAAAATTAATTTGCAGGAGTTTGCCGGTAAAAATACAATACCCGTTTGGTACCAGGAGCTAATTTGGTGATGTGGGTGTGGCAGGCGCGGGGTGGGGTGGGGGGGTGTTTGGAGAGTGGGGTGGGGTGTGTGTTGGTTTTTTGGGGGTGTTTCCTTGACATGATGAAAGTGTTCTGCAAGTGAGTTTATTTTTACGCCGCTTTTAGCAATGTTACAGCAATATCACGTCGGGGGACACCAGAAATGGGTTTCACACATTGTACCCATGTCGGGAATCGAACCCGGATCTTCGGCGTGACTAGGTTACCCTACAGCTCTGCCGCACTAAGATTCGCTGTTTGAGCTTGATGTTGTAGAGCCTTATTTCGGACGAGTCGACGCTATACTGCCACCATTAGCTTAGGTTCGGAATGCCCTGCTTTCGTTTGCTCAGAAACAATTTTATACTTTTGATTTTGATGAAAAGGGGTTTTTATGATAATTTGTCTGTCATAATCCTATTGAATAGTTCAGTACATTCTATCAATGTTTTTTTGTTCCAAGTCTGTTTATATGTGGGTGAATAGAGACACTTATAAGCTACTGTCTGTCTGTCTACCATAGGACTGACTGACTGACTGAGTTGGGTTTTACGCCGCTTTTAGCAATATTCCAGCAACATCACGGCGGGGCACACCAGAAATGGGCTTCACACATTGTACCCATGTGGGGATTCGAACCCGGGTCTATGGCGTGACGAGCCAACGCTTTAACCACTAGGCTACCCCACCGCCCCTCTACCATAGGAAGTACGCTCGTTTTGTCACGTCGGTATCTAACGAAAACATGTGTAATATATAGTACTCACACTTTGCTAAGGATCACAAAAAATCCCCAACTTTACTTAAACATAGATTTATGATTTGAAGTTGTATCCATTCAAAACTAGATAAATAATGATATGGTAACCCCTCTTTAGGCAAACAGGCACTTTAATCTAGCCTTATGCACTTGATACATGAGTAACCATGAAAATGGTTTTCATGGCACCAATCAAACATTTTGCAAATCATGGAACGAGTCATTGACAAGTACACAACATCCGTCAATAGCAGGTATGGGATCCACAAGATGCAATGCGAACTGAAACCTAGGATCCATGCTTACAATAAGCTTAGATATTTAAACCAAATTAGACCCCACATCATAGTTTTCTGTTGAATCAATGATTTGATACTTAGCAAAGTGTGAATAGTAATATTCTAACCGACATTGTAAACCCTGTTGTCACAGTATGAAATAATGTTTCTCTCAGACGCAAGGGTTCTCGTGCTTTAACTATGATACTGACCGCCTCGGTGGTGTAGTGGTTAGAGCGTCCGCCCGGAGAGCGGAAGGTCGCGGGTTCGAACCCCGACCGCGTCATACCAAAAGACGTTAAAATATGGTACTTGTTGGTCCCTGTCTGCCGCTCGGCATTAATGGGTACAACAAGGACCGGTCGGCTCGGAGTCAGTATAATGTGTCTGAGTGGGGTATTCATGCTTCACTGCGGCATGGTATCTCCGTGGGCTAGCACTATACAACCAGCTTCAGTCTGGGCTAGTACAAGCAGCCGCACATACACACACACGCATGTACGTCGTCATATGAGCGAAATATTCTCAGGCACGACGTTAAACCCAATTTCACCCCACCTCACCTAACTATGATACTTCAGGACAATAACATATTTAATAATACTACACATGACAGAACTAATTTCGCTGCAAGGATGACGAAATTAAGACTTGATGCGTATATCAAATCAGAAATATTTGGCGCCGTAAATTGAAATGTTATGGTTGAATGAACACTTCGCGTCTTTTTTTGTATTTTTTGTAAATATATTTTTTTATGCCTTCATGTAAACTTCTTTGGTTTGTATGATTTGTATATTGCATCTGCAAAGAAGTTTGGACAAGAATTTTCCATAGACTTTATTGTGACATTTCAACTTTAAATGAAAATGTCATAACCGCAACGGCGGCAAAAATACTGATTTTGGAAAATCTAGTAAATTTTGCTTAAAAGCAGCTACGAAATGGAAAGAATTGTTAGGCGTCACATAAAAGATGTTTGAGTACCCACGTGAGGCTAGTTTGCTAGTTTGCGCGATCTTTGATATCCATTATTAACGGTAACATATATTAGCTAATAGCGCATTGCCGGGAGAGCCAAATTCATACGATCACTCAACCGGGCCCATTGCCGGGAGAGCCAAATTCATACGATCACTCAACCGTGCCCATTGCCGACTGAGCCACACCATTTTCATCTCTGTTTCTCTTAAATGTGGCTTTCCCGGGCTATAACCCTCATGGAGGCTCACACAAATTACACGGAAAATAAGATTAACGTGAACACTCTTTAATTTCGACACATTTAAAAACATATATAAATAAAATTATTTACACGTTTTCAGGACTATTCTTCATATTCTTCCTTTAATTCGACATATTAACATTATATAAACCCGTTTTTTATAGGTTTTCATCACAATGACAGACTACTGTCAATGTCGTTAAAATATGGCACTTGTTGGTCCCTGCCTGGTGCATTAATGGGTACAACAAGGGCTGGTCGGCTCGGAGTCAGTATAATGTGTCTGAGTTGGGTATTTATGTTTAAATGCCGCATGGTATCTCAGTGAGCTGGCAGGGGCGGTGGGGTAGCCTAGTGGTTAAAGCGTTGGCTCGTCACGCCGAAGACCCGGGTTCGAATCCCCACACAGGTAAAATGTGTGAAGCCCATTTCTGGTGTCCCCCGTCGTGATGTTGCTGGAATATTGCTAAAAGCGGCGTAAAACCCAACTCAGTCAGTCAGTCAGTCAGTAAGCTGGCACTATTAAACCAGTTTAAGTCAGGGCTAGTACAAGCAGCCACACATACACACGCATGCATGTCGTCATATGAGCAAAATATGCTAAAGTACGACGTTAAACCCCATTTCACCTCACCTCGGTGTACTTCAAGTTTGAGCAGTTCGGACACGTGGTCTGTGTAGGCAATGGCCCCGATGATGCTGTTCACAAGAACAAGGGCGTTGAGTAGGAACCACTGGTCGAACCCAACCGGTGTAGCTATTCCATGTAATAAGTTGACTATGCTGAAACTAATATCAACACAAACGCGTAACAGCTTGCTCCCGGCACGTTCAGATTGCCTAGTTGGATTTGACGCGCAGTCATATGTGACCTCATACGCATCTATCTAGTAATTATATGCAGTCGATTCCCCGAGCGTGAAGTAGCATCTGGAATGGATGTTATGCAAATGCGTTGTCCATGGAAGTGTTATTTGACAATGGATGATGAATATGCATGAGTAATTATGAATATGTATGAAGTTCTTACAAATAATGTCCTGATTTCACACATTAATCTCACTAACGTCCAGGCAGGAGTGAGTGAGTGAGTGGAGTGGGTGGGTGGGTGGGTAGGTGAGTGTGAGTGTGAAGGGGTAAGTGAGTGGCGGGTGAAGGAGTGAGTGAGTCATTAATTATTGATATACATGTATGTGACGTTAGTGGTAACAATACGATTTGACAAATATTACACTTATTAGGTTAAGTACAAAATCGGGGGTAGGGATGGAGTTAATGGATCACATACCGGCTGGGATTTCACCAATCATTTGTTATATGCACCTTACACAACACACACACACACACATTAACCCTTCCCGAAAAAGTATTAATTTTGTCCCCAATATAACATTTGTTATATGCACCTGAAAATGCATGCATATAAATCTAACTAATTTGGTGATATGTTTCAATAAAATTCACACGACTTGCAACCGGATATGTGTCATTAACCCTTACTAAACAGTTGCTTGGTCTGTAAAAAACACATAAAAGATTACACACGAAGGCATTTATAGTCCGTTTGGCTCAATAGCGGACCTATGTGAAGGGAGAGAACTCTTACTTTCATGTAAGTCGATGTGTGCGATGGCGGTAAGCGATGCAGTTAACGTGTTTGTTTAACCCTAATACTGTAACGTGCACATGTTACTTATTTATCGACTCGAATAGTGTTACTTGTCGAAACGTGGAAATTTGAATATAAATTCAAAACATTCAGGTGAAAATATGAAAACCAAATGGAAATCACCCACAACAGTTCACAACGGACCACGTGACTCGTACGCTGCAGCTGGTCACATGACTCGCTTATGGGATCTCAATCTTCAACGCATACGCGACACAGTCGGAATTGTACAGTGGAGTCTGCAATAACTATGTATTTGTTATGATTATGTGAATTATTTTTTCTGCCATTTATTTATTTAAAGGAACAACTCTCAAGGGAGACACGCCCGAAAATCGATTCAAAGACTTCCCCCTTTCTTCTTTGAGCTATAAATAGATTGTCTGGCATAATGAGCGCCCTGTAAACTCGGGCCATGTAAAAATCGATAATGGCTGCTGCTCTTACTGCGCATGTGCAGTAGTCTGAGCGTTTTTCTACACAGATGAGGAGTTAATGGTTGTAAAGGGGTCATCGATATAATCGGACTGACTAACGTATATGTTTGATATTTCAACCTCACGGTAAGATATATTGATCGTTCATCGATTTATTTTCTTTCCGAGTCTGATCTTGTGCATATTGATTACCGTATATAGGTACATCTGCTATCGTGTGAGGGTCATTGTTTAGAAATATGTATATATACAGTTTAATTTGCATAGAGAAAAAACATCATATCTGGCAGCCTTAACCGGGGATCACTACGCACATCAGCTTCTCTCAAGGCTGCGTTTGAGGTCCAAATTATATGAATCCTTTCGTAAAAACCCTTTATATGTCAGATCAGGGATAATGACCATTTTTCAAAATTTGAAAGTTTTATATATTGAAATTATCGATTATTTGCTAAAACCGTTTTGACAATGTACGCATGTTCGTCAAGTGATCCGCGATTCTGTACGTGCAGTTAATGAAATGTTTATGATGAGTTAGAAATGTATTATCTCGTTGAACTGTGGTACTCGCGTTATTGATTTCCCTGCCAATGTCAAGGTCACTTGTAAATCCGCGAGGCCAGCTCGTCCGTTGTACTGACACAAGGACAGACTGTTTATTGTCAGTTGAATTAAAACAGTGAATGTCCTTTGTTTGGTGAATGTACTGTCACACCCAGCTGCTCGCATCCGTAGTCTCCATCCTCGCGTGATGCACAGATTGAATGTCAGAATTCCCTTATGGGCAATCATTGTTGTGAGCCTGACTTCATAAAGCTCACATTCAGCTTGAACCTTTCCAAAACAAATAGACGCGTTTTTCTTCAAACGAAATATTAACTGACGCGACAAAAGGATTTTGTTGATCTTATATTAGTAGTAAAAATATTGAATTGAATTTCGTATTTCCAACGGTGTTGCATAGACACGACCATAGAAGCATGAGTTATATTAAATCATGTATCTGCCTCATGATAGAAAATAAACCCAAAATGAAATGAAAACGTAGAACATTTATGTCCATATATGTGAAGGGTATTGCATGATTTAACGCATCATTTAATTGAATAATTCCCGGAGCTCCCGTGTTTTTCGGATTCGGTAATTTACCTGTCATTGCACGTGTTTGTGACTCATGCGACCTATGTGGCAGGATACGCGCGATTTTACGCGAACACTTCGTGCCATCTATATCAGATGATTAGGAGATATACATTCTGAGTTGGAAAATCACAGGTATATATAACGAAATTATAATAGCTCTAAATATGATATAAAGCCGAGTGATGAATAAAAAATTAGAGCTATTTTAATTTCGGTATATAAGTCTCATTATCTCGATTCTACAATAACCGCGTTATTAAGATTTTATTAATACATACTGTATGTTATTAATACATACTGTGTTGGAAAATCAGAGGTATATAAACATGATTATATACCTCTGAATGACTTTAATTAACCAATCACAATCCAGTATTTACTGAGTTATCTCATGGATATAGGTGAGGTGAAATTGGGTTTATCGTCGTGCTTGAGAATATTTCGCTCATATGACGATCATGGATATAGATGGGAGTGTGTCGATTATAGTTTTTAATAACTTCAATGAAAATGTAAACCGTTTTTATTTGCATAGTGTAGTTAATTTATGGAATATATTAGTTATACCATTGTGATATACATACTATTCATAGGTATGATGGAACAATAATCTATTCAATATCATATACTCACACACACACACACACACACCACCATCATCGTCATCATCATCACCATCATCATCATCAACAACATCATCAACAACAACATCATGTGCGCTCTCTCGATGCATATCGACCCGTGAAGATCCGGGGTAGAATAGGTCTTCAGCAACCCATTCTTGTCATAAAAAGCGACTATGCTTGTCGTAAAAGGCGACTAACGGGATCGGGTGGTCAGGCTCGCTGACTTGGTTGACACATGTCATCGGTTCCCAATTGAGCAGATCGATGCTCATGCTGTTGATCACTGGATTGTCTGGTCCAGACTCGATTATTTACAGACCGCCGCCATATAGCTGGAATATTGCTGAGTTCGGCGTAAAACTAAACTCACTCACTCACTCACTCTCGATACATATCGCATGAGATTCAAACCCGAACGACACTGTTGTGTTTGATTAGCGAGACTCACGAAACAATTTAATCTAATTTATGTGGATACTGTACCAAATATTACAAAAATTCGAATTTGCTTTTTCAGAAAGTTTCATTGTAACAGTAAGTTGGCTAATAATTCACTAATAGGATATCGTAAACAGACAACAAACAATAGAAATATGCAACATATTATTTTAAAAATTGCAAAATGATGATGATAATGCTGATGACGATGATGATGATGACGACGACAATGATGATGATGATGACGACGACAACGACGACAATGACGATGACGACGACGACGATGGTGATGATGATGATGACGACGACGACAATGATGATGATGATGATGA